AACGGGCCCATTTCTGGATTTCCAGAACTTCCAGGAGGCCCATTTTTCCCCTCCATAAGCCTCCGTACGGGCCCTACATTTACCTCACATCCAAAATGGAGACTCCTGGGAGGGGAGAGGTGGGCGGGGCCAGCCAGGGGTGAGATTTGGAGGTTCTCCGAGCCAGCCATAATGTTAGCGATGGGTTCTCCCGAACCCAGACAAACCCGTAGCAGCCCACCCCTAAAGACAAGGGCTCCAACTGTCTTTGTCTGTCTCAAAATCTGAACCCGAAGCTGCGCTTTACTTCTCCAACTTAAAATACCTCAGGAAAGAGAATCATGCACTTACAACTTTTGCTTGCAAAGATTTCTTTCTTTCCTGCATTACTTATTGCCGGTGTTGAGAGCCTTGTTTATGAGTTCTTGCTTGTACAGAGAATTGCAATAAGTCTCCCGATGTCAGGCTGTAAATCACCTGTCTGCCAGTAAGTAAATTAGGTCTTCCAAGCAGTGTAGTAGCAAGAGAGAATATATACTCCAGGGAGGGTACTCCACAGAGGGATAAACTAAGGTTCCTCACCTTCGCTTCGAGTCAGCAGTTAATCTTCTCTTATTCAATCAATCTCGGGAAGATAGACTGAAGTTTTTTTTTAAAACAAATAATGTGTTTGAAGGAGTTTGAAGCACACCTCCCCTCATTATTCTAATCATTCCAATAATTATTCTAGTGCAAGGTTCATTCTAATAATTATTCCCTTGTAGATTCACTGGACTGTACCTGCCTTTATTTTTGTTAGGAATATTAGGGATATTGCAATCAAATACATCTAGAGATCGCAAGTTAGGTAAGTCTAGAACTGTGATTTTAAGGTGGAAACCTAGATTATATAGCAACGCCTATTTTTCTGTGGTTTGTGTGAGTTTTGCAGTCCTAGTCGCCCTGAGTAAATCTGCTCCACTTAGTTCTCCAGTTTGTTGCAATTATACATTAGTTACTCTCTGTAGTAACTATCACGGGTTCTTCTCGATCACTTTTCTAATAAGCAGTATGCAAAGAAAATAAATACCCCCATGAAGAATCAAATGCCATTCCTCTGGTCTGACTAGAGATAGTAAGTTTTGAAAAGCCCCATCTAACAGTAGGAGAGATCGCTGTAAGGGCTGGAAGGGATCTGCCCTAGAAGTCCCATTTACACTTATGGATGCAAATCTGTTTTGCTAATTGCAGGTCCTAATTGGAGGTATAATGGAGATAAGATGAAGGCAGTTTTGAATATTCAAGATGCAAAGTTCCTCCATTCTTAGGTAAGGCTGCAGATTAATGTTTTATATCTTTCTCAGCATCCTGCATTCTATCATAGCTTCAGTTCATATATTTGCAATAAAGCTTCCCCTTGCAGCAAGATAAGCTTAAGGAAAGGGGGGGGGGTAAAGACCCTAACGGCCATATGACATTATCAACAAAAGAAAACAAAATAAAGTTTCCCAGTAAAAGCCAGTGGCAGATTTTATATGTCAACAATGAAAATGCAAACCGTACAGAAATAATTTAGTAGCGTCGCTTTGCTAAAAAGAGAAAAAAGTAGATTTTTTTTTTCTTTTAGAAAATTATTCTAAATGTTCGCAGAATCATCCAAATGTTCACAGATCCCTGCTTCCTTTTAAGAGCAGTTTGGGAAGGGTGTCAGTTCAAGGTCTGAAGGCATCTTCAAAGTCAAGAGAAGAATGGGGAGTTTTCTTGAGTACCCAGCTGGCTTTGATGGCATTCTAAAAGATAAGGACTGCAGGATCAGAATTGGTCAGTACTTGGAAGGGAGATCACCAAGAAATTCCAGATAGCCTGGGAAGACAATAATAAATGATGTTCATGTTGTTGCCAAGAAAACTTCAGATTGGTGTCACTGAAGTCACCAATCTC